AAACTACCGCTACGCGTTTGTGCCTAATTCCAGCTCGACGGCCTTCCCTCTCTGACCCAGCGTGCCCGGGCTGCTGGCCACAGCCCGCGTGCAGCGTGGAAAAGGGCTCGGGTCGCTCCTGGCCCGCACAATAAAAACCTGCCCTGTGCTGGTCCCAGCAATATAAAAACCTGCCCTGGCCAGCAGTTCAGGGCTTCTTGCCCTCAGGAGCTTCTGAGGCCCAGCCACTTAGTATCTGGAGACACTAGCCCTTTGTGTCAGCTAGACTGCTGAAGCAACATCGCAAATTCACTTTTTAAAATATCCTAAAATCCACATGCTTCCACAATTAGAATGAGAGAGAGAGAGAGGGATTGATCACATAGGCAATGTTTCATTGTTATATTTACAGTGTTAAAGCAATTTGGAAGCCTACCTATGTCTCTAGCATCATAATAAAAAAAAATCTTAAATAGTTATATGTTTTAATATTTGCTTTTGGTTTCCTTATCACATGGTGGGTGTGTGAAGGGGGGTGTGGGGTTTTCAGGAGGGGGTGGGAAGGGGGGTGGGGGGATGTGGGTGGATGTGTGGGTGCATAGATTACTGGTGCTTCCTGAGTCTGGGGGGGCACCAGATTGTTGACCGGGGCGGGGGTCCCCCAGCACCTGCCAAGCTCCTGCCATTCCCTCCACCAGCGTGTCCCCACCAGGCACCCAGGGCAGCAAATCCCAGGCCCGCACACATGGGCTTCCAAGGCTGGAGACAAGCAGGAGACCAAGCAGGGGGCTGAAGACAAGGAGGAGGCTGGAGACAAGCCTCTGAAGATGAGCCGGAGACTTCCCCTGCTGTCTCCAACCTCCTACCCATTCTCTGCTACTGCCGGTGAGTGTCGGGGGTGGGGGAATGCATGGGGAGTTGGGGAAACCAACAGGGGCTGGATCCGGGCAGGGCCTCCCCCATGGTCCCCTCCCCGCTCCTACAGCCCCCCAACTCCCTACTTACCGGGCATGAAGCCGGGTCCAGGTCCCTGCAGCTTGTACCACTGCCTGCCCCACACAGGCAGGCAGTGTGCTTCAGCACCAGAGAAAGGGCCAACCACGGAGAGCTCTGTCAGGCTACCAAAGTGTCTCTGTGGAGGACCAAGCCCCTCTTTGAGTACCACTGGGCATGTCTACACAAGACACTACTGAGCATTGGTTACTGCACATTTATTTAGTACAATTATTTTGTATAATAAAATATTAAATAAATGAACAGTAACTGGAGTTACTGCGCAGTAGTACCAGCAAATGTCTTTTTAATGATGCTTACTGCACAGTAACCTAATCATTTCATAGCTTTCAGAGACAGTAAGGCTAGGAGGGAGGTAGAGGTAGAGTACCTTGCATTTTTCCGTATTGAAGATCATCAGGTTTATATCCACCCTCTTTCTAAGTCTATCCAGGTCAGCCTGGATCACTGCACAGTAGTGTATTAGCACTGTTGGTGCTGTGATACGCTACTGGTCAGTATTATTCAGCTACTGTGCAGTTAGTCTCATGTAGCTGTGCCCAGTAGTATAAAGTGGAGAGCCTCTATGAAATGCCTAGGGAAGGGGCTTGGAGTCCTTAGGTACACTTAGCATTGAATAGAAGTGAGAAATTACTGCTACACAAAGAACAGTTTTTTATGTTCATCCACATAAATGTCACACTGGCTAATAATTCCTTGAGTATTTTGCTTGTACTTGTTCTGTACTAACCAGTCCATAGACATGAAAGTACAAACATG